GGACAAATGGTTGTCCAATCTCTTCTTTAATCTTGAACTATTTGCCACACCGTCCCCAAAGTGGAATGTCCCTAAAGATTTCTGGAAAATGTAGTCCTTGAACTTACGACCGTAACGGAGCCCTTCTTGTTACAGCCCTAAATCACGACGGTTGTAAAACGGGGCCGGTGTGATTTTACAACTTTTTTTGGGGGGCAGCAGTCGTTAAGCAAACGGTGCAGTCGTTAAGCGAACTGATGGTTTGCTGCAGGCCAGTTTTGCTAAAAACCAGAAGTAAATCCCTGGGGGTTTTTTTGGCGGGGGGGGGGGAAATCATAAAACGGAATCGTGAAAAACCGCCCCCCCTCCCAGGATGCTGCAAACACTCTTAAATTTGGACCGGTTGCCGAGCCATCAGAAGTTCAGAACTAGGAAGGTCCGTCATAACTTTAAGCAGTCACTCAGCAATCAGTCATAAGGCGAGAACTACCATATTTCCCCCAAAATAAGACCCGGGTTTGTTTTGTTTTTTTGGCCGCCAAAAGAGGCATTAGGTCTTATTTTCAGGAGACGTCTTCCACTGTCTAACCTCGCTGCGGCTGCACCAACGGCCCTGCCTAGCAGGAGCCCATGTGGCGTCTGCCATCCCACTTCTCCTGCGGCCATTTGTCGCCGCTCGTGCGTGGCACACCCAGCCTCCATTTTGCCGTCGGAGGCCTTCAGAAAAGGCCTCTGCAGCAAAGAAAATAACTGACGGCTCCCCCGACGGAGAAGCTGAGATTGGGAGGGCGCCGTGCGCGTCAATCCGGAGCCAGTTTCTCGGCTGCAGAGGCCTTTCCTGAAGGCCTCTGACAGTGAAATAGAGGCCAGGGTGTGATACTCACAAGATACGGCAAGCGGCCGCAGAAGTGGGCCGGCAGATGTCGGGGTGTGCGAGGCCTGGTTGCGACTGTCCGAAGGTAAGTGGGTATGGGGCACATGGGGCAGCTCCGCCTTGCATCCCTACCCTCGCTTGAGTTTTATCCGTGTGCCTCATCCCGCCTCGTGCAACCAGGTGCAACGGAGGTCTTAACCAGGACTTATTTTGGGGGGTAAGGCTTATATTAGGCGCATGTGTAAAAATCACGCTAGGGCTTATTTTGGGATAGGTCTTATTTTTGGGGAAACACAGTCAACAAAACTGAAAATTCGATTTCAGCTGCCGTCTATGAAATATGCTCACACTCTTACCACAGCAGAAGGTTGGCTGAAACCTCACACTTGGGTTTCACGGCGCTAAGTGTGCAATTTCACAAAAAAGTCTCCGAGCCACGCAAAACAACCCTTTGTGAGCATCCTAGAAACACCCGCAAGACCTCAATAAGGTGTTTCGTGCTCAGAAATTCCTCGTTTCGAACCCGCCAAGCCGGGTGTCAGCAACCCACGGCTCCGGAGCCGCATGCAGCTCTTTCGTCCTCCTGCTGTGGCTCCCTTGTCAACTGAACCCAGCGCTGGCTGGCTCCGCCCCTCATCCTCCCCTCCCAGTCACTCCTCGCCTGACTTGAAACGGCGACGGCGACGGCGGGGAATAGTGACTTGCCCATTATTCCAGAACGGGAATGACGCACCCCTGTACTTGCTGACTATATATAGTCAGACGCCACTGGCTCTTTTTTATGATTTTCCGAGATAGATAGATAGATAGATAGATAGATAGATAGATAGATGGAGAAAGAGAGAGAGAGAGAAAGATGAGAGAGTGAGAGATGAGAGAGAGACACAAAGAGAGAGAGATACCTGTTTCCCACAGAAAAGAAAACACTGGGAGCCACAAAACCTGGGTAGGCGTGGCTGGGTGGGAATTATTTTATTTCATTTTATTTTATTAAATTTCTATACCGCCCTTCTTCCGAAGGACTCAGGGCGGTGAAGAGCCACAAGATAAAACACATAAATACAAAAATTTAAAATAAATTAAAAACGAATTAAATAATTTGGCTGAATTTAAAATACCCCATAATTTAAAACAAATTAAAATTTACATTTAAAAAGGAGAGAAGATTTAGGCCAGGCCAGCTTGATGAAATAAAAAAGTCTTAAGCGCGCGACGGGAGGTGCACAGATCCGGGATCCTCCGTCTCTCCGGGGGGAGCTCGTTCCAGATCGTAGGTGCCCCCACAGAGAAGGCTCTCCCCCTAGGGGCTGTCAGTCGACATTGTTTGGCCGACGGCACCCGGAGGAGCCCCTCTCTATGGGAGCGTACTGACCGGTGGGAGGCTATTGGTGGTAGCAGGCGGTCCCTGAATGAGTGATGTTGCTACGCCCGCCCAGGTTTTGTGGCTCCCGATGTTTTCTTTTCTGTGGGAAACGAGTACAAATGGCTCTTTGAGTATTTAAGGTTGCAGACCCCTGCGCCAAACCATTCTACCCTCAGACAGGGAACTCTGAACAAAATTGCGCACTACAGACACACAAATATCGGTGCTGATTCTCAGTCATCCGGGTCGTGGTTGTCCCGACGGTGCATTTTTTCACGTGAAACGGCCCGAACCAGCTGAATACCATCACCGACACACAACACACCTATTTCTAGCTCATGATTTCAATCTTAAAATCCAAAGAAGCGGGAAGCTACAGAAAATCAGGAAGGCCTCCAAAAAAAAAAAAAAAAATCTCCTGCTAAAACTGCCTGAAAAATGAGGGATTTATGGAAAGATTTCTAGATGTCCACGTTTTGATATCCGATCTCTGCTTGCCACCATCTCTGCTTTTAAACCTTTCGGAATAGGAAAATAATGATTCTCGGGCAAAAAGGACCATTGTTAAATTTATTACCCTCATAACAAAGAGACATGATTTGTCAATCCATCGATTCATCACATTTAAAAGCGAAGTTTTATAATGAGCGTGCCAATCCTGCTTGGAGAACGGAATCTGGAGCCCGTTTGGCTACGGTGGCTAAGATTTTCAACCTAATAGGAATATTTCAGACTGGAAGAATACAATTGCCATCCACAGATCGTCCTTGACTTAGAGCAAATTGTTTAGCGACCGTCCGAAGTTACAACAGCAATGAAAAAAGTGATGTATGATCATTTTCTCACGTGAGCTTTGCAGTCCCGTGCGCACACGCTCACTTCGTGCACTTTCCTTCCACACATGCACTAGGCCTCAAAAATGTGCCTAAATAGGATGGCACAGAGCCGGGGCGGCCCACGATTTCCGTTACTGGTTCAGGCGAATCGGTCCGAACCGGCTGAATACCACCTCTGCTTATGTCTGTTTTTCACCGTTATGATCTTGGCAGCATCCCCCATGATCGATCGTGCGATCAAAATTCACAAGATTGGCCTCCGATTCATACTATGTTTATGACCTTTGCCGTGTCTCAAGGTCACGTGATCCCCTTTTGCGACCTTCCAACCAGCAAAGTCGACGGGGACGTCAGATTCGCGTAACAACCGAAAACAAGAAAAATCGCTACCTAACCGACGTCTCGCTCGACAACATCAAGTTTGGGCTCATTTGCGGTTGTACGCAGAGGTGGTATTTAGCCGGTTCGGATCGGTTCGCCCGAACCGGTAGCGGCTCTATGCCATCCTATTTAGGCACGTTTTTGAGGCCAGGCGAATGTGCGGAAGGCGCGCGTGCCAGCAAAGTTCATGCACGGAAGGCTGTGCGAAGGTAAGGACACGCACGCTCACATTTGCAAACTGGTAGGGAAGGCAAGTGAATACCATCCCTAATCGTAACGTAAGATCTACCTGTATTTGCAGCCTATGTTTTAAGACAGGCGGGAAACAAAATCAACCGGCCGGCATTTAAATCTCCAAGGCTTGCTTAAAACTGAAACAAAACAATTATAAAAAAAAGCAAATTAAGAACTCAAGAAGGCCAAAAACGAAACTGCAAATGGCAGAAGAAATAGAAAGAAGCCGTTGGGGAAAAAAAAAAAAAGAAATAAAAAGCCAACAGCTAAAGAACACAAAAAGCCAATAATATCGTATTTCACTTGTTGATTTGAATTAGTTCTCCAATTTCTTAGCTGAGGGCTAATTTCGCCCTAGTCCCGAATCGTTCGCTCCAAATGATTGGTGTGTATGACATAAAACGATTATCCCTATCGAACCGTTTGTAATTAGTTAAGTATTTTTTTTCCCACCCCTCCTTCTAAAGCGGTAATCCTATCCTCGCCGAACTCGGTAGAAAATCCCTTTGAACTCCGGAAAAACAATGTAGGATTAGAAGATGGTTAAGGTGCCTAGAGTAATTACAGTTCCGTTATTACAGGCGCGTGCGCCTATATGAATGACCCAGAGGTGGGCTCCACATACTGTAGCAAACCGGTTTACCCAGCACTGGAAATGTGAGTGTGTGCGCACGCTTGCTTCACTTAAATATCATCCGCGCATCTGTGCGGCGTCACAAATCACGGCAATTCGCTCGCTCGCGCACGCCGTCCGTACATGCATGCAACATAAAAAAAATACAGCAATATAGGACGGGATTGCATCCGCAGGTCGACGCTACCGGTTTGCCCGAACTGGCTGAATACTACTTCTGGAATGACCCTATGGATTTCAACTGAGTCTTAACTTCCAACGAAAAAGCCCATTTAAAAGGGAATTTGAAAAAAGCTTGCTCCAATCCAAATAAGGGAAAAAACACATATTTTTTTTTTAAAAAAAGGCGAATATAATGACTCTCCAAATTCATAACATAGGGGGGGAAAGTTTCCGGCGCAAATTTTAAATATTCCCACGCACGCTGCCCCCCACCCCTTCTACGTCTTTGGCCCTTTGTGCGAAGACATTTAATAGTAGCCCATCAGCTACGTCTCTGAACCCACCCACCGCCAAGCATCACTGGGCTTGTAGTCCACTGGTTGGTCCATGCAAAAGCTTCTCTGGCTCCTCCTGGGGAGAAGGAGGCACCCAATCCATGCCAGGGTATCTCCTGGTCTCAGCCCGCCAGCCGAGCACTGCCCCAACCCACTCAGGCCATTCCGATAGGCCTGCAAGAAAGAAAGGTTGAATTCTCACCTCCATGATCCGCGAAGAAGAAGCTGGCAGATGCTTTGAGCTCCTTGACCGGATTCCGTAGGTATCGGTAGTCCCAGGCGGGGAAAAGGGAAAAGAGGGATAACGTCTGGAGAAGGGGAGGGAGGGAGGGAGGAAGGGAAAAGATAGGGAGGAAAAATGAAAGGAGGAGGCTAGGAAGGAAGGAAAAGATGGAGGGAATGAATGAATGAATGAATGAATGAATGAGGGAGGGAAGGAAGGAAGGAAGGAGGGAGGAAAAAGATAGGGAGGAAAAATGAAAGGAGGCTTAGGAAGGAAGGAAAAGATGGACGGAAGGAAGGAAGGAAAGAAAGAAGAATGAGTGAGGAAGGAAGGAAAGAAGAATGTGAATGAAAAAGGCAGAGAAGGAAGAAAAATGGAGGGATGATAGTGAGGAAGGAAGGAAAAGGGAGGGCTGATAATAGGAAGGAAGGAAGGAAGGAAGGAAAGGAAGGAAGGAACGACGCCAAGCAATTTCTTTTCCCGTGCCCATAGGGATGCCAAGGTGGTGGCCGGCCAGCGGCGTTGGCAACAATGCCTCGCTTCCGTCCTCTTCTTTGCAGAGTGCTAACCTCAGGGATTCTACTCACGTGCCAGCCGGGGCGATGCCAGCCCCCACCAGCTTTGACTCGGTGCCAAGTTCAGGCGGGCACAGGGGTGCCAAGGAGAAGGACCGTGGGGGAAGGGGAGACGGTGCAGGCAGAATAGATTAGGGATGCCAAGGCCCAATTCTCGGGGGCACAGCCAAGCAGCTTTCGCCAAACCACAGCTCCGGCGATGCCCACCTTGTGTGCCTGTGCCCGGGGTTGCTTTCCCAGTGCGATCTACGCCTGCGTCTCGTTTCCTTCCCTGCCTTGTGCCATCCCTCAATCTGAGTCCCTGCGCTACTGCCGGGGCGCCTCCTCCGATGCCCGTCGGCGCTTTGAGCTCTCCACCGTTGCATGGACGCCCTCTTCCCCACCCTGCCCGCTTCTCGCCAGCTGCCGCCTGGTACCTAAGTCTCTTTGTAGAGGCCGGAGAAGGGGGGGCACGGTGCCAAGGCTCCCCAAATGTCCCGAAAGACCCTGCCAGCCTCCGCTCGGATGCCAATCTCTTGCCCTGGCCTTCTCTGCCTCCGTTTGCCTGGCGGGCACCGCCGTGCCAGCTGCTCTCTTTCCCTCCCCTCCGTGCCGGGTTCCATTCCACACCGCGCCCCCCCCCCCCCCCCCCCCGGCTGCAATTTGTGAACCAACCTGGCATCTCTCTCTCGCACGCTCTTCCCCCACCCCCACCCCCACCCGCCCAGTTGGCATCGGCGAGGGTGAGCAGAACGAATGCCGCAGAAAGGAGGGAGGGAGGGGAGGAGGGAGGGAGGGAGGGTGGCAGGGCGGGCGGCTGTTCCATGCCAGCTGTCATCACCCCTCCCCTGTGCAGAAGCTCTCCTGGTATCCGGCTGGCACACGCCACCTCCCCCCTGCCATCTTCCCCTCTTTCCTTCTATCACGGGCGTCCTCGCTCAAGCCATCGTTGGCTTCTCTGCCGGCATTCGTTCTCTCTCTCTCTCTCTCTCTTCCTTCTTTCCCTGAGACCTCTGGGCAATATTCTCCTGCCTCCACTCCTCCTTTTCCCTCTTTCTCCATCACCCCATCCTTTCTCTCTCTCTCTCTCTCTCCCGCTGCCCCCTTTCCCCGGTGCCAACCTTCAAACCAGCACCTCATTCCCAAGTACCAGGTCTGGTCCAGGTGCCCTGCTCCTTATGCCCACCACGGGCAAGGGTTTTGTGTCTGTGTGCCTATGTGTGGGTGTGTACGCGCACGGCCACGTCTATCTCGGGGAAGCGACACCGTTCCCCCCCCCCCCAACCACGTACGAACACAACAGTGTGTCTTTCGGCTTTTCATCTCGCCCGCCCCACAGCCCGGAGAAAAAAAGTGGCACTCTGCCAGCCCATAAACAGCCATCTGTGCCCCAGTCTGCAGCCCCCCCCTCTCCCTCCCTTCCCCCCCCCAGCGCCACACTAATTGGCAGCTGAATTAATTAAGGCCGGGTTGCTAATTAACATTCCTACGGTGGCGTGTGCAAAGGGAAACTTACTGGCACGGCAGCAAAACCCGGGAAACGAAGCACGGACGGAGCTGAGTTGGCAAACAATGGCTTGATCGGCGCCAGCGCAGGGACTCCCAAAACTGGGAGAAATTAAAATAATAATAATAATAATAATAATTTTTTTTTAAAAAAAATCGATCCATGTAAGTCCTCGACTTACAACCGTTCGCTTAGTGACCGCCCCAAATTACGACGGCACTGGAACCCGTGACTTGAGACAGTTTTTCAGAGTGACGCGCTACCCCCCCCCCCGCGGTCAAGCGATCAAAATTCAGAGGGTTGGCGCAACCGGTTCGTACTTACGACGGTCGCCGCATGCCGGTGGGTGACGCGATCCCCTTTTTATGCGACCTTCCGACGAGCAAAAGGAAGTTGGGTTCACTTAACAACCGGGGGGCCTAGTTTATCAACCGCAGGCAGTGGTGGTATTTAGCCGGTTTGGACCGGTTCAGGAGAACCGGTTGCAACGATCGAGGGTAGCCTGCCCACAAACCCTGGCACTATGCCGTCCTATTTAGCCACGTTTTCAAGGCTGAGCACATGCATGGAAGGTGCGAACAAAGCACATCTGTGGAAGGCCGGGCACACGCGTGTGCATGTGAAGCACATGTGTGTGCGCACGGTGAACCGGTGGTAAAAATATGTAAAACCCAGCTCTGATTGCAGGGATTCACTGAACAACCGCGGCAAGAAAAACGGCAAAACGGGACGAAATCCCTCACTGAACGAGTGTCTCGCTTAACAACAGAAATTTCGGCCTCAGTTGTGGTCGTAAATTGAGGACTACCTGTGTTGCAGTAAAGTTACAAATTAAGTGCACAATTTTTGCTGAAGGTTGAAGCTGAACACAGACTATTGGAGACTCAATGCAGAGTCCTTGACTTACGACCGTTGCTGAGCGAGACAGTTGTTAAGTGAGTTTGGCCCCTTTCTGATCACCGTTGTTAAGTGAATAACCCTGTGGTTAAGCGAATCTGACTTTGCTTTTCAGAAGGTCACAAAAGGGGGGAGCCATGGAAATTTCAACAGTCATAAATGAGTCACTTGCCAAACATCCAAGTTTTGATCACATGACCACGGGGGAAATGCCACAATGGTCGTTAAGTGTGGAAAACGGTCATAAATCCCTTTTTTTGACCAGCAAAGCCATTGAAGGAAGCCAGATTGATTTAACCACTGTGTTGCTAACTTTACAACTTCACCACTGTGGTGCGAAAGGTCGTAACAGGGAGTCATAACTCACTTAACGACCGCCTCGCTTAACAATGGACATATTTCGGCTCGGTTGCGGTCGTAAATCGAGGACTGCCTGTAATTAATCCCCATTTTAGTCTTAGCCACCTTGAGGGCAGGTGATGGGAACTGTAGTCCGTCCCCCTGGGAAATTGGGGGAAGACTGTTCGTCTCACTGAACTGGGCTCTGATCACCACCACTCAGAATGGATCAAATGGACAATGAACCAGGGCAGTCACTAAGAGAGACAATCTGGAAGCTTATAACAAGCTTCGTCTATTCTCTTTTGCAGCGGTAACACCCAAATTTAATTTTTAATTCAATTGAATCTTTGATTCAAACGGGGCCGCCGTGTCCCTTTTCCACCCTGAGGCAGGTAGTCCTCGACTTACGACCACAAATTGAGCCCAGCATTGCTATGGGAGACGGTCGTTAAGCGAGTTTTGCCCCATTTCACTTGCACGCTTGTTGGAGTGAGATCACCGCGATGGTTAAACCAGCAACACGGTCGTTAAACGAAGCCGACTTTCCCCCTGCAGCTTTCTTTGCTCGTCAGGCGGTCACAAAAGGGGATCATGTGACACCCCCCCGGGACTCTACGACCGTCATTAATACGAGTCAGTTGCCAAGCATTTGAATTTGAATCACGCGACCATGGGGATGGCGCAACGGTCGTAAGTATGAGAAATGGTCTTCTGTCACTTTTTTCCCAGCGCTGTGGTAACTTTGAAAACGGTCGCTCAATGAAGTGCTGTAAACGGAAGGCTACCTGTACTACAATACCCATTGGTCTCACCAGTTTAGCTTGATTGGAACTGGAGTTTCCACCCGGAGAAGGTCGCGTCGAGTGAAGCGGTATCCAATATTCGGGACACCTTTGCTGAAAATGAATTATTATAATTGAAAGAAAGGCCCGTTAAACAGTCGGGCGAATCGGAGATCGGGCCAAACATGGCATGGGGACACTGCCAATCTTGGATATTTATTAGATATTTATCTTGCCTTTATTGCTTTTTAAGTAAATCAGGGCAATAAATGGACATAATACTCCTTCTCCCTCTTTTTCCACAACAACAACCTTGTTAGGTGGGCTGGGCTGAGAAAGAGACTGGTCCAAAGTCACCCAGTCGGCTTTCAGGCCTAAGGCGGGACTAGAACTCACCGTCTCCTGGTGATTGGCCCAAAGTCACCCAGCTGATTTTCATGCTGAAGGTGGGACTAGAACTCACCCTCTCCTGGTGATTGGCCCAAAGTCACCCAGTCGGCTTTTGTGCTTAAGGTGGGACTAGAACTCACCGTCTCCTGGTGATTCGGCTTTCAGGCCTAAGGCGGGACTAGAACTCACTGTTTCCTGGTGATTGGCCGAAAGTCACCCAGTCGGCTTTCATGCTTAAGGCGGGACTAGAACTCACTGTCTCCTGGTGATTGGCCCAAAGTCACCCAGCTGATTTTCATGCTGAAGGCGGGACTATAACTCACCCTCTCTTAGTGATTCGCCCAAAGTCATCCAGCCTGCTTTCAGGCCTAAAGTGGGACTAGAACTCACTGTCTCCTGGTGATTGGCCCAAAGTCACCCAGCCGATTTCATGCCTAAAGCGGGATTAGAACTCAGCATCTCCTGGTGATTGGCCCAAAGTCACCCAGTCGGTTTTCATGCTTAAAATGGGACTAGAACTCACCGTCTCCTGGCGATTGGCCCAAAGACATCCAGCTGGCCTTCATGCTTAAGGCGGGACTAGAACTCACCCTCTCCTGGTGATTGGCCCAAAGTCACCCAGCCGATTTCATGCCTAAAGTGGGACTAGAACTCGCTGTCTCCTGGTGATTGGCCCAGTCACCCAGTCGGCTTTCAGGCCTAAGGCGGGATTAGAACTCACAGTCTCCTGGTGATTGGCCCAAAGTCACCCAGTCGGCTTTCATGCTTAAGGCGGGACTAAAACTCACTGTCTCCTGGTGATTGGCCCAAAGTCACCCACCTGATTTTCATGCTGAAGGCGGGACTATAACTCACCCTCTCTTAGTGATTGGCCCAAAGTCATCCAGCCTGCTTTCAGGCCTAAAGTGGGACTAGAACTCACTGTCTCCTGGTGATTGGCCCAAAGTCACCCAGCCGATTTCATGCCTAAGGCGGAATTAGAACTCAGCATCTCCTGGTGATTGGCCCAAAGTCACCCAGTCGGTTTTCATGCTTAAAATGGGACTAGAACTCACCGTCTCCTGGTGATTGGCCCAAAGACACCCAGCTGGCCTTCATGCTTAAGGCGGGACTAGAACTCACCCTCTCCTGGTGATTGGCCCAAAGTCACCCAGCCGATTTCATGCCTAAAGTGGGACTAGAACTCGCTGTCTCCTGGTGATTGGCCCAGTCACCCAGTCGGCTTTCAGGCCTAAGGCGGGATTAGAACTCACAGTCTCCTGGTGATTGGCCCAAAGTCACCCAGTCGGCTTTCATGCTTAAGGCGGGACTAGAATTCACTGTCTCCTGGTAATTGGCCCGAAGTCACCCAGTGGCTTTCATGTATTATTTAGGAAGTATTATTATTATTATACCACAAAGATGGTACTGTATTTACAATTCATTCAATGCAGTCTCCACATTGTTTCTCGCCGAGCGGATTTAACCGCTGCATCTTATAGTCAACAAACCATGGTTTTAAACTGCAATGGTTGAAACTCTGATGCGGGGTGTGTGTATTTATACACACCACATCAGAGCTTCGACCATTGCAACCTGGTTTGGTTATAACCATGGTTTGTTGAATATATATATATATATATTGTCCACTAAATATTAGGTTAAAAACTAACCAGCACTTTCCCACTGTGGAGTCAATTCCTCCAAGCGTCCTGGGACTCTCATGCCCATGC